CCAGTAGAAATACACTAAACCAGCTATAAACAATGACTAAAAGATTAGCAATTGGTAGATGGTCAACACTTATACATCCATTCATATCACATTACAATTCCATGGCAATCATGTCCATGTTACATTTCATTTTCCATCTTTTATTCAACTTTGAGTTTGAAAACAAGGCTCAGAACCTGGCCAAATAACGTTATGAGATTACAACTCATCTTTAAAATACTTTCAAAATTCATAGTGGATACATATTTTGGTGCTGTATCAATAACATATAAACCACTTCCATACTTCACAATTGATAATGATATACATTTTAGTGCTATATCAAATCAAATCAAATACTTCCATAATCCACAATTGATACACATTGTAGTGTTGTATCAATGTCAAACAGAATCCGGTTTAGAGGTCCATCCCCTATCTTTCCCTCCTCCTAAACTATGGAGTATATCCCCTATCTCCTCCCACACACATAATGTATATATACACAGATCATATACATAATCGATCAATACGTAAGGTTAATGCATTATTCCAACTTTCATATTCGATAACACATTCAATTGATCAGTTTTAGTTTGCCTAATTATCATACATTATCTACAACAATCAAGACTATCCTCTACCGATAGCCCAAAGCAGTTATTTCTAAACAGAAAATAAATGCACCAAATGGATATATTATCAACATTTTACCTAGGTGAGCGATTAAATGAATCCAACTACACCATTTACTCCCATATCTTTCCAATTTGATTATTCTCAATTCAATTCCTCATTTCTCAAAATTAATTACACAAATTAATTTATCCAATTAATTAGGGCACTTTCCCATAATTAACACAACAACCCTAAGGTTTCATTTTCTTCAATGGTTCAACATAAATCTCATTTTTCTATGTCAAACATGCATATAGGTTTATATAAATAAAACCCCCATCTTTTGTAAAATTACACAAAGGCCTAAACTTTCCCGAAATTACACAACAATCCCCAACATATCAAAATGCTAAAATTCAAAGAGAAAGCTCATAAAAAGGAGTAGGATATCCCTACCTCGAAGTTAAAGCTCAAACGGAGATGAAGACCAAAATCCAACGTGCTCCAAATCCCAAGTTTTTCAGATTAAAACGAAGCCCTCAACCCACTCTATCTTTTTAACAAAGGACTTAGGATAGATTCACACTACAGGGAGATGAAAACCTAGAGAGAAGACAAGTTTAGAGAGAGAGAGAGAGTTGGCTCTAGGGTTTGTAAAAAGAAAGGAGATGAAAAAGTGATGTTTAACCCGCTGCTGTCTGCTGATATACAACAGGCTCGTTCAAGCGAAGACTTGGTCGCTCGAGCGACCAGACACAAGAAACTCTCGCTCGAGCCAACAATGTGATGCTTCAGGTCTGCAACCCAGAAGCACGCTCGAGCGACAGACTCGGGGTCTTGTTTTGGGCCGAATTTTATTGTAATTCCTTCATTTTGAATGAGCAACCAAGGATCTTGTGGTGATAGCTTTACTCTTTTCCTTGATAGAGTGTTAGCGGTTGGGAGCATTTGGGCATGTGGTAATGGAAGCTTTGGGTAGGTATGTTGTCGCTGTGGTTGTTGTTGTTCTTGTCTCATAGCTCCAGTGAGTGGTATGAATCGAGGGAAGTCCGCGACCCTTTCTTTGTGTCCTTGTTGATTCGAATGTCCTTAGCATTCCTAGAGTCGAGAAGGTATTCCAAGTTTGGATGTGGTCAGCGAGTTGGTGCTATGTTTCCTTGGTTGGTTGGGAGGTCTTCCTTAGTACCGTGTTTTCCATTTGACTTGTCAGTTTTGTTTCGGCATTGTTTAATTTTGAGGACGAAATTTCCTAAGGTGGGGAGGTTGTGATGACCGGTTCGAAAGCCGTCTTGTTTCTTCGGAGTTATGTTGGGCAAGTTGTTGTTGAAAATTCTTTCTTTATGTATTTTTGGTCGCATCGTTTCTCTTTCAAGTTTTCACTCGTTTCGGAGGGTGCAGGATAGGGGCCGCACGTACGGAAGGTCAGGTCGTACGTGCAGGAAGCAGGGCAGAGGGTTGGATGCACACTGTCTGAAAGGCAGGTGCGTGAGTGGAGGTGCAGAAGTGGGAGCCGCACATGCGGGAGGCCGCTCCGCATGTGCGGGAGAGAGCGCAGCACGTGCGGCCAGACGCATGCTCATTCTCGTTTTTCGTACTTTTCAGCTATATTTTGCACTTTTGGTCCCTTTCCTCTCATTTACTGATATATCACTCTCTCTCTACAATATTTTCTCTCTTTTTCTCTCATCTCTCTCTACCCAAACCCTCAAAATCTTGTATCTTCTTTGATCTCAAGAAATCCATTGAGATTTTGGTGCTACTCCCTTATACCAAATGATGAGCGTGTCGAGGGCTTCGTTTTGACCGGTGGAGATCGTATTCCGGCGAGGTTGATTTTTGAGCTTTTTCACCTCTTCTCTCTTGAGGTAGGGATTTCCTTGATTCTTTTCAATACCTCTATTATAGATAGACATGTGGTAGATTCTTATTGCATAAAAACCATGTGGTGTGGATTTATTTTCGAAAATCATGGTAGAGGACATAATATTTGGGTGTTGAGACTGAAATTTCATGAGATGGGTTGATGTTGGGTTAAATTTGGGGTGTAATTCAATATATTCATGATTAGAGAGATACAACCCTAATTTTTAATAATAATACTCATTGATAAAAAGGGTTTTAATTGTGGGTTAAGCATGTCATGAACATAGGGATTTAAGTGATGAATTTATCATGCTTTGAATTAAGAAATTTGATTATTTGTTTGATAATAACTTGTGATTAAACCGAGTTTTCATGAATTTTGGTATTTAAACTTGTGTTGGATTGATTACATTTAAATGTGATGATTCGATAAGTTGTTAATGGTCAAAAAGGGAATTTAATCATGAGATTAGAATAATATTGGGTTACACTTTCGTTAAGTAGAAATTGAGTAAATTATGGTTGTGTAATCCATTTTTGGATTTTCCTTGTCTAAATGATGGAAATCGAGTGGTGGATGGAATAGTTAGTGTGTTGAAAATTGGAGAATTTTGGAAATAAATATCAAAAGAAAAAGTAATGATAACTTTCTTTTAATTGAGAAAAGAACGTCAAGTAATAGATGAAACCTTGGAGTGGTGTTGTTATTGGCCTAAAACCCATGAGAATTGGTCAATGGTACTTTGTGCATTCAATACATTTTGGCTTAAAGGTTTTATTCTTAGTCATTGGTGGATGATGACATTGTTGTGTTGTTTAGTTGTGTATGTATTACACTTGTTGGTTGTACTTATTCATGTTGTGATGGTTGAGACTGTGTGTGTTGCGCTGAGAATGAGAGGTACCATTACCTTCTAGCTAGCGCCTGGAGAATTGGCTGCGCTAAGAATCAGCAGTGCCATTCCCTTTCAACTAACGCCTGGAGAATTGGCTGTGTGTGTTGCGCTAAGATTCAGAGGTACCATTCCCTTCCAACTAGCGCCTGGAGAATTGGTAGAGGTACCATTCCCTTCTAGCTGGTGTCTGGTAAATTGGCAAGTTATGGTGGAGAGATGTATCATTGGCTTACTGTGCTTTTTGGCAAGTAGAGCGGAGATTATTTATTATTGTTGTCTTATTTGGTTATGTGTGTTACGTGCTATGATGAACATGATTCGGTGAGGTCAAATTGTCTTATGTGATGGATAGATGTGCCTGTGTGTATTTGAACGTGCTAGAGAGTGGCTGAGGGGAAACTCTTACCATGAACTATTTGTTAGAGATGTCTTGTTAAATTTGAACTTAAGATTGAGAATACGATAAACGTGTGGAAAAAGGACTTGGGTTTGTATCGGATTATTAATAGTGTGAAGAAATTGGACTTGGTGAATGTGCTTTCAAAAGAAATAAAATGGCTATTATGTGGTGTTTTGTCACAAATGGAAAATGTGGTCATCGTATAATAATTGTTTTAATGGGAAATAGGTAGTAAAAACGAACCTTGGTGTTGTTGAAATAACTGAATGCTTTCGAGAAAAGTATTTATGTATGTATATTTTGGTTAGGAAAATGTCACATTATTTATATGTTATGAGACTAGCATTCATGATCATAACCATCTGTGAATTGTTATTGTTGAGGATCATGTTGAGATCCCTACTAGACTATATATTCATCCCACGTTGTTAATCTTTTTCAGGTGAATATGAGGATGTGCTACAAGGTCACAGACCTTCCTTATTTGTTGGCCACGGGGCCTTTTATGAGTAGGCTTAATGCCATTGGTGAAAAAGGGTTAAACCCTTTCTCTTGATTTAGATGATGTAAGCCTACGGGCAATTTATTTAAATGTAAATTCATGTTGCATTCATTTTATATTCGAATGAGAGAATTTATTCTTATCTATTCCTTGTATATATAATGAGCTTATATACGCTAACTCGTAAATTGAATTTATAACAATGGCTTTGGTAAATGGAAATCCGTGTAATGAAAAGTGGGGCGTGACAACTTGGTATCAGAGCGAGCTGGGTTTGAATACCTTGGGCTCGTGGGAAGTGGTTTTTACCACAAGGGGGTTTACTATGCTTAGTGAGGACGTTGCATATAGTTAGGATAAGCGTTAGGACTTATATGTTGCATTTTTGTGAGCATGGGATTAAGTTTCTTGGATAGTACTTGTGGCTGGTGAACTTGCTTTGAGGTCATGTTGGAAACACGCCTGATCAACGTGGTTTCTAATAGGAATTCCTTGGGAGTTTCGGGACGAGTAGCTATCCTTGCGGACTTGATTCGATTATGTGTTTAGATGTTTAAATTGTTTATATGCCTTATGAATTGTAAGTTTTGGGAGTTAAGTGTGTATTGTAGCTTGATGGTAGTGATTGTGTGCCTCTGGGAGGCTGTTGTGATGTGCACTAAGTTGATTTGTTTTGGAATCTTATAGGATGTCTACATGAGGGAATAGAGGATGGATGAGTAGTAGGGGTGTCGGTAGGGGCATGGCGGTTGCCCTAGCACCTGTCGTTGCAGCATCGTCTGTTGGTGAGGAAGTTACACACGAGGTTGTGAGAGCGGTGCAAGACGCTCTAGCTCGCAATGAGGGAGACAATGGGCGTACCCTCAAGCTTACAAAGGAGTTTCTTCGCTCCAATCCACCAGAGTTTTTGAGGGAGGAAAGACCGCTGGAAGTCGAGAGTTGGTTAGAACAGATTACCAAGACTCTTGCTATGCTCAGAGTCGAGGACGAGGGGTTGAGGGTTTCTTTGGCGACCTTCCAATTAAAAGAAAGTGCGAATTATTGGTGGAAGTATGTGAAGGGTACCGTAGGTGCCACGCGGGTTGCGTTTACCGAGGCCTTCTTGGCCAAGAATTTCCCTCTTTCTGCTCAGGAAAGGTTGAGGGAACAGTTCGTTGAGTTGCGCCAGGATGCTATTCATTTGGCTCAGTTTGAGATGAGGTTCACTAGTACGTCGAGGTTTGCTCCAGAGTTGGTGGCAACAGAGGAGCATCATTGTTACGAGTTTAAAAGGCGGTTACGTAATGGTATCCGAGAGAAGGTAGTTGGATCTATGTGGAGGAATTATTTTTCTTTAGTTCAGGCGGCGGCCCATGTGGAGGTGTAGACACCCCATTTTTGACCGTCCTCAAGACTTGGACGTCACCGTTTGAACACTCGGTGATTATCCATGTTTGTGTTCGTTTGGAGTTCCCGGAAGTCTCGGCTCACGCGCCTTGCCTCAGGATCCCCGAACTCGACCGTTTAGTGTCTGGTTTCACACCAAACACTTGTGTTTTGCCTTGGAAGGGCAGGGAATGCCTTGTGAGGCATCCCCACACACCACCGGCAGTGGCTAGAGGCCACCGGCTAGTATTTTTCTGCCATCGGCACTATTTGTTGCAGGTCGGCACATTTTATTGCCGGTCGGCATATTTTGTTGCCAGTCGGCACTCTTTTTTGTCGAAATGACATTTTTGGGCAGCCGACCACTGTTCATCCACTTTATGGAGATATTTTGTGCCAGCTGTGATAGCTGGCACCAACTCTGTCTCCCTCCATACACGTGTATGGAGGGATCTCCCTCTAGCCAAGCTTGTTGTATAAGCTTTGCAAGAGGGAGTCCTATAAGAGAGGGGCTTTCCTCTTGGATCTAGGTTAGACTTTAGCAACCAAAAACCAGAGCTTTGAGATATAGATACACTCTATCTCTATATCTCCCTCTCCCCCCTCCTTTGTGTGTGTTTCCTTGGCCTAAAGGTGATTTGTTTTTACCTTTACTTTTTGCACCATTACACACACTATTTACACCTTACTCCGAGATTGAGGGACTTGGGGGTTGTTCTTGAGTTCTCTCTCTGTGACCTGGTTCTTGATCAAAAGAAGAGGGGACTAGACCATTTGTTCTTCAAAGGTTCTTCAAGGGTGAGCATTTTGATTTATATCTCCCCAAACTTGCAATAGTTTTTTTAACTATCTTACTTCTGTTTTTGGGGGCTGTTTTTTTAATGTAGTTCAAACATCTTTTTGGTTGATTATACATGTTGGCTTGGGGGTTAGTGATAGTAAGTGCTCCTTTGTTGTGCCTTAAACTTTGGGCCTATGTTCGCTCGCTTGTATTGTCATGCTTGGTTCTGTCCACTACTTTGGCATCTTTTGTGCCACGGTTTTGGGCGCCGGGACCAAGGGTCTGTCCCTTTATGGCTTTAAAGCCTCATTGCTGAAAATGCTCATTCCATGTTGGTGTTCGCAACGGTGCTTCATTAAGCCTCGTAGCATGTTAATCCCATTCCCAAATTAGGTCCATGTTTGAGTCATATTCTGCATCTTGTATGCTTGGCCATTATACATTTGTTCATGTTGATTTGCTAATGCTTGTTGTGCTTAATCATCTTGCGTATCATTTGCATTTTAGCCATTTTTCCATAACACTGCATTGCATATTGCTTGGTATTGGGTGTCAAACCAAGTGGTGGGAATTAAGGGAACATTCATACTTCAAGTGAGTGTAATGTGGCCTCGAATTCCCGGTCACCGGGCCTTTGACACCGAACCATGCAATGATAAGGCTTTCGGATCTCATTTTGTTTGTTGCATGACATCCTCTAGCATTAAGTGGCAAATTTGATCCCTTGGGTTCATCATGCACCATTGATGGGCTCAAAGGATCGAAGGTCATGCTTTTTGAGTATCAAAAACATTGATAATAAGCACAACCATTGCCCACATGTACCTGAAGAACCCC